GCTCTTAATGTGTGCTTCTAATAAGGCAGCTTAGCAACTTACCAGCACAGAATAATATATCTTGAAACCAGGTTTAGCAACGAAGTAATCATCAGACTTGAATGTTATTTTTATCTGGTTTGTTCTTGATGTTATCCTCGGAGGAGCTCCCTTGTGGCCACACCATCGTCCTCTAATGATGGTGCTTGTTTCCGATATATCTTCAACTTCCACGAAGTCATATCTAGGATCAATTTGGTATAAATTGTTTTAATTTAGGTATATTTCTAAATTTATAAATTCACTAAAAAATTAAAACTAACATGATTTTTCAAGATTTATCATTGGAAAAAATGCTAATTTGGGGTAAGGCCTTCCCAACTTCAACTGTGATAATCTATTTCAAGACAAAAAATACCCCCCAAAAACAAAAAAAAAATACCCAATTATTAGTGTTTCCAGGCCAATCATCAATAATCAAAATGGGCTATTTCCAGAGAAATGGGTTTAGAAAATTTTGAGAACCCTAGCCGAGCATAGTGGAGCTTGACTCTAATCCCAGCATTCAGGAGGCTGAGGTGGGAGGGCCGCTATAAGGGTGCAAGTTTGAGGCCAGCCTGTGCTGCATAGCAAGATTCTGTCTCAGAAACAAAAATACAAACAACAAACAAACGCCCCGGAAAACCCCAACTGACCACTGCAATCTGCCAGACTACATTTGATGTAGCTGAAGTTCTGTGCCCACATATTGACAAAGTTTTTAAAACAAATCTCCACTTTGAGTTAACTTATCACTTTGGGGCTTCCTCGAGGAAAGGCTGGATATCATTTATAGAATCAGCAGTCTCATTGTGGCAGAAAGGTGGATATGACACTATTTGTTCTATTAATTTTTGGAACCTGTGTTTTGCTGGCTGCCATCATAAGCGATGACATTTGCTAGAAGAGAATGCCTATAATCTCGGGGGGTGACTTGTGCTGATACTAGAACAACCTCGGCGAGGCAGAACAGGGACCTCCCGAGGCACTCGGCACTGCAGGCCGACCGTGAGCACTGCTCAGACAACCCGAGCCCAGACTGAGGAACACGCAGGCCTCCTTAGTCGTGCTGTGGGACCTTGATCTTCAAGCTCCTGTGCGCTGTCCTACCGTCCCAGCACACAGCAGAACACCTCGAGTGCCGCCCTTTGCATCTCCCTGCCATGATTTATTCTACGTTGAGACCCCTGCCGTCTTGGGTCATCTTCCTTATCTGGCTGAACCACCTGCCCTTCGGCTCTGATTATCTGAGTCACAGTCCTCATCTCCACCTTTCCTCAAATGACTCCACATGTATTCAGGGTGGGCAGTGGCAGAAGCTGCAGGTCCACCTCATGACTCTTCTGTTATGAGTACCAGAAGGAACCTGCCTATGAAACAGGAAGTCTGAGTATAAAGAAAAACATAGGAAGTTACTAGTTTTTCCCAAGGACCTCAGAGTTCTTATTGGTTTGGAAAGGATAAACCAAGGAGGTGAAAATGACGCTAGGACTAAATTTCTTTAACAGTGATTAATGAACTTTCCTGTCCTTCGCCTCAGTTTCCTTATGAGGAAAACAAGAAGGCTTATACAATTTTACCAGCTGGATGTCTTTTGGGTGCTGTGTAAATTAATTACTTAACATTTATATGGTGCTTGGAAGGTGAAAATACTAACAAAGAATCATTATTCAAGCAATAAAACATTACAATGTAAACATCAAGGAGGCTTTGGAACAGATGGTAGGAAATCAATTGTGTTTCATTTTATACATAATACGTGTAAATCATATTTACTGCACAAAGCACGAACATAATTGAAATTTTGTTAATAACACAATGGGTCAGCTTTCTTTTGAAAAAAAAATATCAGTTCAATTAAAACGCTGAATCTGAAGTCAAGGATACACCACTGCTTTTGTTAGGGAGGATTTTGAAGCAAGTCTCTGATTCTTTCCTTCCTTCTATTTAGCTCCCTCTTGTACGTCATTCTCTACATTTTGAGAAGCACCTACATTTAAAACCAGGCCCAGAAAGGACACCACCCTAACACTCAGTCTCCCATTTTCAAGGCCAAGATGTTCAAAGTGCTCACGTCTGGATGAGAGCCTTAGTTCACGAATGGCTTCTCCTTGGTGATATTATGATATAGTGACATATATATGTTATTATATGTATTATAAGTCCATATCCTACCTTAAGTCCCTTGGAGCTTCTGAGTCATTTGGGGTGAGAGGAAGATCTTTATTATTCATCATAAGCCCCTTTTCCCCAGACCGAAGTTATTCTGATGAGGTGGAATCTTGATGGGCCCCTAGGTAGCTTCAGAGTGAGGCAGGACCAAGAAGTCTAAGGCACCGTTAGAAAGCTGCACTTTATAGCTTCAGTCCCGGACCTCTGCAGAGGGGAAAGGGCTTAGAGCTTGCACCTAATCATCCGTGGTCAATGATTTAATTAACCAGGCCTTCATAATGACCTCCACAAACATCTCTCTATGTGGGGTTCAGATTGCTTCGGTCCTGGTGAAAGCCCTTAGAAGATGGTACGCATAGAGAAGGTGTGCTTCTCATTTGTTTCCTGTTTCGGCTTGTGTCTAGATGCCTTCCCAAAACCTCATGCAGTCATAGGTGGCGGTATTTCAGAGGTGGCTGAATCTAAAGAGTGTGATGCTGAGGTTAAGGGTGTATGATTACTGAATCAAGCTACTGATTGGTTTGGCACCAGCCTAATCCTGGTAGCCCGGATGCAATTAGGGGACAGAAAGAGGCTTGTCTTTTCCCTTGCCTGGTTTTGCTGTCTCCTCCTTGCCACTTGCCATGAAGCGTTTCTCCTCTGTGATGGTCCTCCGCCCTGTGCCACCCGGCCTTGCAGCCAGTCCATTATGAACTGAAACCTCTAAAAACTGTGAACTAAACAAACCATTTCCTGTTTAACTTTGGGTATCAGGTATTTTATCTCAACCACAAGAGAAAAGTAAGTGAGATACTTTACCTCTCTCTCTTGGCTATTTGTGAGTTACATCTTCTATAATAAACTGGAAAGGATACGTAAAGCACTGCCTTGAGTTTTGTTAAGCCAAGGAGGACGTGTGGAACCCCCAGATTTACAACGGCTTGGTCTGAAATATGGCGGGCTTGTGAGCAGCTACTTACATTCAAGGCAGGGACTGGACCCATAGCTTGAGGGATCACACGCTAACTGGAAATAGCAGGTGGTGTTAGAGTTGAACTAATTTATCAGACACTGGTACTGGAGAATTAGCGGGTGTGGGGGGAGAAAGAAAAGGGTCCACACTTGAGTCTAAGAGGCTCTGCAGGTAGCAGCAGATCAAGGCATCTTCCATGTCATCATCTTTAATTATGTTTCAATGTTTTCTTTTAATGATTTTTTTTTTTTTTACGAGTGCAGAAAATTAATTCTCCCTTTCAAGGTTGAAAAGACACAAGATCAGCTTTAGTTTATTCTCTTTGTAAATATTAACTGGCTCTCCGTGCGTTTATTTGTCTCTGCTTTCTAGCATACATTACCCTCTATGGTCTTTGAAAGTAATAGTCACTGTTGTTATTCTCAGAAAAATAGCCACATAATAAAAACTGTCAGTATAATAAACATTCAACAAAAGACAAAGGAATCTGAGGCACCTCGCTTTATTATGCAAGGGGAAATAAACCCGCTGAGAGGATTTAGCAGCTCAGTAGTTCATTGGCAATGCGGAGGGAGTGCATGCCCAAAGTATAAAAAGGTAAGGGGAAAATCCTCCTCAGGTTTTACTCATGATAATTAAGCAAGTAAGATGCTGTGAGCAGACAGTTCACAGAGCAACGGCCTGGACTCTCTGATAGATATGCTAAGAAGGGAGAAAATTATTAGGCGCAGCTTGCATCTTGTACCCTTGCTGCAGACTACAGGAAACAGACATTCCAGCAACATAGAGATCAGGGCCCTACCTCCTCTTTCTCTCCACACATGTCCAAGCCCTTAAAACTATGACTTTAGAGTACAAGTTGGAGGAGGGCCTCAGCCACCACCTTCTCTGAGCGCCGCGGGAGTCATGGCGACAGCGGCCTCTGCAAGCTCCTAGAGCTCCCCAGGGCAGTGTGCCTTCGACTCACATATACAAGGCAGGCTTGGAGCAGGGCCACACCCTGCAGCGCATGCGCGAGGCAGGCTTGGGGGGTGGCACACTCTGCAGCACATGCGCGAGGCAGGCTTTAAGCGATCCACACCCTGCAGCGCATGCATGAGGTAGACTTTAAGCAGGGCCACACCCCACAGCGCATGCGCAAGGCAGGTTTTGGGGTGGGCCACACCCCGCTGATCCAGGTGGCCCGGATGTTGGATGCGTCCACCTAGACACACAGGCCTTTCTGTGCCTGGAAATGTCATGGGACTCCAGATCCATGCCTCTGGGGACACAGTCATGACAGCAGCCAAAGTGTGCTTCTGTGAGCCATGCCACGTTATCAGGCCTTGCACAGAAGCAGGCTGCGGGACTCTGTCAGCTGGGGCTCACACAGACTTTGTGAAAGAGGAAGAACACTTCTGCAGGCCCCAAGGGGTCAGAAGGAAGGATTCGTGCGATGTTGCCAATACAGACTTCCCTTCTTTCCCTCTAGAACCTTGCCCTCTGAGGGAGTTCCTGCCTCGCTTACCTACAGATATCATTCTCTGCTTCTTCTAATCCAAACTGATGGTCAAACGAGAGCTGGATCCTTGTCTTCTCCTGGGAATGGAGCCGCCACGTCAGGAGCAGGTTCCGGGGGTAGTTGTTCGGGAATCGCGGACTCTGCAGGTGTCCGTTTCCTGTCACCTGGATGGTTTCGTCTCTCTGGTACAAGTCTGTGAGGTGATTGCTCTCTGTTAGTAGTCACAACTTGTAGAAATTAGTGTGTTGCTCCACTTACGGGACAGCAAAAAACAACAATTTATAACATAGCACATTTTAGAGCAGTTCTGAATTTTGTTGACAAACGTAACAGTACATAGTAACCTTCCTTTTAAGCAGACAATATACATCTCTACTACTCCTACCTCCTTAAATTCTTCATAAATTTTGATGCCAATTACTTAATACGCTGGGGGTTTTCTTACATTACTCTTGACATGAAATCATTACCAACTGGTCACCTTAGATTCATTTAGATTGAGATAAAAATAAACAGAATGTTTCTATAGTTCATCTTTTTCTATGCAATACAAATATTTTTATATTGACAATGTAGCACTATATTTTCATTCACTAGTATAAGACATACGTAATATTGCTGAATAAATGAGAGAAAAACAAATGTAAGGAAAAACAATGTTTGTTTTGTTTTGTTTTGGCGGAACCAGGGATTGAACTCAGGCCCTTGTGCTTGCCAGGGAAGCACTTATTCCACTGCGCCATCTCCCCAGCCCTGAAAAACAATGTTTGATGACCACTTATTTTATACTCATTTTTTTTTTTCTAGTGAGTTTCTCTAAGTTGGTAGTTATCAGACTTTTTGTGGTTTTTCTGTAATTTAAGTCAACTTCTCATTACCGTATGCTGTATGTTTGGTAAGGAATTTATCCATTTGTTCTGGTTTCCTGCGAAGGTGTGTTAGCCCTCAGAATTTCTCGAATGGCAGAAGTGTCCTTGTCTCTCATGGTGGAGCCCTGAGCTAACACCTATATTCATACTACTAAAGCAGTTTACAGGTACTCCCCGCATAGCTGCAGGGTGGGAGCTGACCATGCCATGAAAACCAGAGCTGAATTAAAACGCTAGGGCTTTTGGCTTGGGGAGTTCAGCCCGAGCCGGGCTGCCCAACTCCAGGAATGCAGGCGGGGTTGAGGCTGCAGTAGCACTGTGGATGATATCATCAATCATGTCCATGCAGTGAGTGAAACCCACATCAAAAAAGAAGAGAGAAGAGGAGTCTCAGGATACCAAGGCCTGAAAAAGCTTTGGGCTTGTGATACAGTTGGTGCTGATCCCCATGAGGGTGATGTGTCCTTAGGACACAGATTCCGAGGACACAGATATGTGGAACCCTCGTAGATCTCACCCCACGGATTTCTTTATTTTGTGAGTCCTGTTTTGCATGCTTTTAATAAAAATTTAATGATTTTCCATTAATTTTTCTGTTTCCTGTCACCTGGATGGTTTCGTCTCTCTGGTACAAGTCTGTGAGGTGATTGCTCTCTGTTAGTAGTCACAACTTGTAGAAATTAGTGTGTTGCTCCACTTACGGGACAGCAAAAAACAACAATTTATAACATAGCACATTTTAGAGCAGTTCTGAATTTTGTTGACAAACGTAACAGCACATAGTAACCTTCCTTTTAAGCAGACAATATACATGTCTACTACTCCCACCTCCCTAAATTCTTCATAAATGAAAATGCTTTGCTCAGGTCTGCAAGTTGTTCTAGCAAGTTATCAACTCTAAACGGCTGCTGGGAACCTTGATTTTGTACCACCATTCAGGACTCTGCATAGCCTCTGGGGTCTGCTCAACTTGCAGCTGGTGTCTGAAGTGGGAACGGTCTTGTGGAGCCTGTGCTCCTAACCATGAACGATGATCTAACTCTCGAAGGTGAAACCAGAATTGCATCTCGCAGTGGATCCCTCTTTCACATTTGCCACTACTTATAGTGCTTTGCAACTTGGATTTTGGCTTTCTGGGGCTCACTCTAAGCAGACTTCAGCAGAGTCTCTTACATAGACTTTCCTCTGAGTCCTGTACTGAGTCAACTAGCCAGGGAGCCTCACCCGGCTGGTGGAAAGCTCTGTGAGGTGTGGACTCTGATGGTGAGTGACTTCGGAAGTTTCCGAGGTAGGGTAGGCAGGACAGACATGAACTCGCATGTGAAACACAAAAGCCTCTCTTTTAAATATTTTTGCACATATGGATATTGTAATTTCTCTTTTAAATATTTTTGCACATATGGATATTTACATTTCCTAAAATGTCAATGGCAATGAGATAGCATTTGCTATGAATAGAAGGAGTCATAAATCTGAACATAGAGCCATTAGATTTTAGAATATCCGTCTCAGTTGTTCAGAGTTCTCATCTCTATAATAAGGGGATTAGGGACACATATTTTTTTTAGTCTCCTTCAGCGGCAATATTCTCTTTCTGTGTGTTTTTCCTGGTTCAGATGCTATGCTATATTCTTACATAATTTAAGAGTATTTAAAGAATTGTTTCTATCTTTCTTCACCTGAAATAGAGCTGGTGCCTACTGCAGAAGCACAGGCCTGGCACAGAGGAAAGCAGGGGAGAGAGGGCGAGCTGAGGTGGTGAGCAGGTGAGACTGCAGCATCACCGGCAGAGGCCTGTTCAGAGCAGGGGTCCATCGGGGCCCAAGGGGGTGGTGGTTGCTGCAAGCTTACAAGGCAGACTATGGGAATATGAGAAAGGCAGATGTGTCTGTGCTCAAGGTACGTGGGATGGGAGGTTCTGGAATGGATGGTCCGCCCTCGAAAGGGAGGTTAACCTGCCGGTGCTGCTCAACATGGACCATAGGCAGAAGGCCCTCAGAGGTGCCTCCTACCTCCTAAGAGGTGGCTGTGGGGTAATAAGGCTGTGACCAAGCAGGCCGACTGGCAGAGAGGAGACAGAAGATAATGAATGGGTCAGAGAAAGAAGAATATTCAGCTCAGGGGCGCCACCATGCGCAGTAGTTCTGACATTTAAGGTACCGCAAGGTGGACATTTCTAAAAGAAATTCAAGTCCACTTTTGATGTGGTAAGGAAGAACTCAAGTGAAAATGCAGAGCCTTTGGGAGTCTGAGGCCAGATGTGAGCTCAGAGAGCAGGTGTGATGCTGAGGGCTTCCAGGGAAGAGGAAGCCCAGAAACCACCGTGGACTCACTGGGGGAGGTACCTCAGCAAGGCAGGGATGGGCGTGGGGCTGGGGCACAGCCCGGAGCGCAGCAGATGAGTGACTCAGGGAGAGATGGTGAAGTGAGAAACACCAAATGGTGGCGAGAGAATTCATGTCTAAAATTGTCCAGGAAAAGGACAATCTCAAGAATACCCAGAGAAAGGTTGATAATGTCCAGTTCTGAAGCCAGACTAGGGGGACAATAGATGGAGAAAAGACCAAACTTGGCAATAATAGCATCAGTGACGTCCTCTGGGAGTACATTTTGATAAATTTTGTAAGTGTGAACGGAAGCCCTTCATTTAAGGCTATTATTAAAGGTTCTGTTGTCTGACAGATGCGAACTCTGGTTCCATCTGAAAGGCCAATGGTATTTTTGAGAAGGCCATGCAAGAATGGAGAGAGGCATTGTCTTCTGACATAGATTAAGATAATGCTCGTTGTTGATTATGTAAATTCATCACAGACCTACGCTGGCCTCTATTGAACCAGACGAGGAGGGAATAACAATTTTTCAGGCCAGTTTTCCTTAAAAACAAAATTCTGACAAAATACACCTACATACAAGGTAAATACACAAAACAGCAAACCATAGAGGTGTTTATTTTTGTGCTGGGTGTGCATCCTAAGTGCTTTGTTCGTTTAATGCCCAGGGTCTAATCATTTTGTGTGTACGGTCTGCATGTGCATGTACACACACACACACACACACAGACACACACATACACACTCACATATTTTTCCCACAACCATTTCAAATGGGTATTATTGTTCTTATTACCCCCACTTGAGCTATGACAGCAGAGATCTAGTATGTCAAAGAAGGTCACAGAGCTATTTAGGGTAGAGTCAGAACAGAGCCAGGCTACCTAGTTCCACCACTGGGGCTCTTTACCACCGTGCCACAGCAGGTATTTCTGCTCAGTCTGGACTTGCCAGAGGCCATTTTTGGTTCCTGGCTGTCTAAGTACACTTTGTCTTCTGAAGCACAGTGTTTACATATAATTTATAAATTCATGCCAACTCAGGGCTATTCTTAGCTAAAGAGTTACAATGAATTATAGACACAGAGAAGAACCTATCAGGTTAAACCTGAGATAACTACCGAAGTATTATATACAAAGTCACATTCTTGAACAAAGACATTTACTTTGGGGTGCTAATAATAGCCAGCAATTATAGAGCAATTATTATGTACCAAGCATTCCAGCCCATGGTTTAAGCTCACTACTTCATTTAATCTCCAAAACAAACTTAGAGAATTATAAAAGTCTTTCTTCACAAAGGAAGTTCTGAGTCTAAGAAATTTGGGACCTGAAGGCAAAAGCCAGTGGTGGAATCAGACTTGACTGGAGGCAACCTACCTGCAGAACACACACGCTTACTCAGAGCTCTGCACGAGCTCTTAAACTGCAAAACAAGAAATAAATCACCTTGCATCAATCCAGAGTGATTTCTGTATATAATTATAGAGCAAGAATACGGACTTATTCTGCTCTTAGCATAAAGATGTGTATCTTAATAGACTCTGAACTATGTGTTTGACTTTTTTAAAAGCCAGGTAAAAAGGTAAAAGAAAAGCCAAATTGCTGTAGTCTGCTCCCAACCTTTAAAAAACTCAGTTTACCCAACTGTATATTCTAGAAGTTCATAAAATATCATTGCAGATACTGCCACCTATCTCTGGAATTCACTGTTTCTCAAAAGGTTGGTCTAGAGATGTCACTGACACCATCCAGAAGCTTGTGAGAAACACAGATTCTCAGGTTCTGATCTAGACCTGCTTAAAGAGAGGATCTGGGACAGGGTCCAGTACCATCCGTTTGAGAGCTCCTCAGACTCCCGGGATGAGCCATAACTTTGAGAACACTGACCATTCACACTCTCTACTGTTCTGCTGTTTTCTGTACTTCTCGTCTGGTTTACCATCTTCTCTCCTTGGCTAGTGAGTGACCTGACTTGGGCTCACCTGGACGGTC